TTTGTGCACAGCAATGTCCAACAAATAGACCTGGAGTGAATGACAAGACAGATCAGGCAGGGATCCTAAGGCTGTCACCGTGGTTTCAGCAAGTGACCAATTATTAAATGTAAATAACTTAATTTAAAATGTCTCTAGCAAAAAGGCCTTTTTTTAAACAAACTATCAATTTTTCTCCTTAGAACTCTTCTTATATTTGAAATGCATGAAAGACACTGAAAAGACTGAATCGTTTATGAGCTGCATTCTCATGTTGTCATTTTAACAACCCGAGTTTACATTTTACAACATTTAAACAAAGTTAAAACACTGAGCCTTTATGTTTTCACATTTGGCAACACAAGGCTAATGACCTCAGCAGGAAAGCAGAAGCAGTTTTAGACCATTGATACACAAAGTCAAGTTTTCGAATCAGTACCTAGCCACCCCAGGGACTTAATAACCCCCTAAAGCCAATACATAATGTCTTTGTACATTTACAGACAATAGCTGTATAGAATATTGAAGTGTATTAAACCCTCAAGCTAGAATCTTAAATAGTATTGGCTGGCTAAAATCCAGTTACCTGGCTAGAAATCTTTTCAGCGGTTGCAGTTAACTCCCTGCCAAGAGCTAATATCAAGTAAGATTATAATTTTGCCCAGTATTATTATACATTAGATCTACACATACCCCTTAGTGCTAAAAGGTAAGCATTTATCATTAGTAATGGTTAAAGACCTGAAATAATCATATTGCAAAGTTACATTTTACCAGAGAGAAACCAACTTAAATGAGAGGAAAAATGAGAGAAGTGGTATCAATGCAGCGAGAGAGAACAAGTGAGAGAGGGTGTAAACAAGGGGAGGGAGGGAACAGGAAAAATACAAACATGGACGAAAAAGAACAATGGAATGAATGTAGTTGCGAATGAAAGCAAAATAGAGGGAAAAACTTATGAGGGAATGACGGTTTGCAAATTTGTCGCTAATTATTTTTTGTCACAAAAAATTTAATAAATACCATTGATGTGATATATTAATATATTTTGGATATAAACTACCCCTTCTCATAAGCACAACCAACAAACCACCCAGCAGCAATGAGGGAATTAAGAAAAATTAATTGCACCAAACAAAACATATGTGCAATACAATTTATAGACATCAGTACTATTTTTAGGTATTTAAACTAGTTAAAGATAATGTCTTGTATAAATCTTAGCTATTTTATTGTAATCTAATTGTCAATAGAACTGTGTCTCCTGACTTAACGCAGCTTAAAATGTGCTTTTAAGTATTGATGAAGTATAAATAATTTCCCCAAGAAATACCTTATGCATCAGCATTGATAAAAGAAATGAATGCTTCAGAATTCATTTTTACAATGCTTTGATCTGAGTGTAAAATTAAATTCATACACTGAAACAAGGAATCTAAAATATCTTGCACAACTATCCGTCTGATCTATTTCAAACCATATAAATGTCAACAAAAAGGTGAAAGTCTACATTCTGTTCCTAGCAGGAATCCCAAAGCAGAGGACGCTTGCTTTATTTGCATTTTAATTGAAGAAATGCTTTGACCAGATGCCAATTTTCCCTTACAATTATAAGTATTTTCCTGCACAAAGGGTTATGTTTATGGATTTCTTGGAATTACCTTCACTGTTGTGATATTAACAGATCACATCAAATTTATTCCGGGAAGGGGAAAAACACAGATGGTCCAGGATCAAATACAAGTGTTAGATGTTCTTATACCTTTGGCAATTATATAGTGCAGTGGAATGAACAAAACAAGCAACTAAATAATGAAAATTAAATTGCTATTTTGCTTCATTCTTAAAGACCAAGAGCTTAAAGTTTTAAAATATACATGAGTCACTATTGAAGGCTAAACTGCTATAGCCATTTTTTTCCCAGCTTGAGTAGTTACCTCCAATGGATGAGTTCACATCAGCTTAGACTCGATGGGCAAAATGAACTTCTCTAATGCTGTAGTTGCGAAGATTCAATCATTCTCTCTATCTCTTTTAAAATAACTTTTTGCTTCCTTCACAACCCAAATTGTAACCTATGACCTCATCCAATGCTTTTCTGTTCAACACTTTCACGCTGGTTTACAAAATGCATGAGAGGCAATTCAGATCTCATTTTTTTTCTTCCGTGACTCTTGATGCAGTCATATGGCATCAATTACCCATCAATTGCCCATCAATTACATTTCCAAGAAAAGGTAACCCTGAAGTATATCAGGTTAAGATAGATAATCAAGCAAAAACTCAAATGAATTGGAGGCAACATACCTACATCAGAACCAATGAATATATTCTAATGCCAGCATTTAGCCATTGTTACTGTGCTTCCACAAACAGGACGCTTGATATGCAAGCTCTTAACAGATCGCCTCCAACAACAGCTTTATTTGTACAAGGTACAGTAAGTACAATTTCAGTTAATTAATTTGGCAGACAAGTGAGCCAGTGATATTTATTAGCCACCGGTGGTACTGCTTGATGGTTCTGCAGCTTTACTTTTGATCTCTGCTGTATTAACTGCTGAGTATTCAGTGAACAATTTAAGGTGGGTATCGTATCCATGAATTTCTTCCTCCAGATCCCATAGTTACAAAGCTTCTGTTCAACTCAGGACTGTTAACTGTCAACAGTCAAATGCCAATCTTCTTCTGCATCGTAATAGTTTTAAAGACTATTGTATTTTTGGAAACATGCCAATAAAATTTGAGCAGATCTAAGATACCAGTCGTGTGTCAGACTTCTGCATTGTATATTGCTTCTAATGTTTTTTGATTGGACAACCATAAATTCGGATGAAGTAGAACTAATGCTTCAGTGAGCTAATTCACTCACTATTGCAATACAAATTACATAACAGTGTGCATATAAAATGCTGTTTTATTAACTTCTGTTAGCCGTTGAGCAAGTTATTTTGGAATTAAATTTAATACAAATTGTCCAGCAATTTTGAACTTTAAAAGTTGAGTTTATTAATGTACGCCTGAGAAAGGGCATTTCGTAATGATAAGTATGGGGTGGTTTTGGTATAACTTTATTCCATTGTTGATAGAACTATATAGTCTGAATGTTTTTACTAAATTAATTAGACATTTTGCTTGGCATTCTTTCAGATTTTGCAGACAAACATTTTTATAGTTACAATTCATTGGTTAAGACAAGAGAGTAGGATTATTTAAAGAAAAAAAAGATTTGGCTCCATATAATACATGCCATATTTTGGGTTTTGTGTACATGTACATTTCAAACTGGTAGGAGCACTATCAGTTTGAAATGTACTCATATGCAAAAAACAAGCATTAATAACCTTGATTTTGAAAAAAAGGAACTTAAATGAAGTGATATAAACAGTAAGCTAAAATGTATCACACAACTATAAGGAATTAAAAAATAAATAAAACAGAATACTTAAAATACATAATAAGATGGAAATAATTGATTTAAAACATCAGTTAATCTGCATATTTTGCATAGTAATCTTTGTTTAATATAGCATCCATGATATTAATATGTCGCAAAGCTCTTCACAGGTAATTACTGTGACTCCTTATTTGTAGGCAAATGAAGCAGACAGCTTGTACAGCAAGGAGCCACCAAATAGTAATTAAGGAAACAACTAACTTATCTGCAGGATTATTGGGATAATTGGCCATAAAACCAAGAGAAACTTCTTTTCTCAAATAAGATAATGAGATATTTAATGTGTGCCTGAACAGGCAGATGGGACATTGGTGTAATGTCCCACGCAGAGCTCTTTAAATACTCTACTGTAGTATCAGCCTAGACTGTGAGCTTAAAGTCCTGACATGGGGCTTGAACCCATACCCTTCTGCAAATAGAAACACTCGTGGAATCCAAGTTTGGTAGAAAACTGAAAATAAGAGGAGCATTAGTATGGCACTATGAAGTGATAAACTTGGTTTGATTCCTCTTCTTTGCTGAGTTCCCAATTATAATTGCGACAATACAAGAATAATGCCAAACAGAGGCCAGCCACTTTCCTACAGGTAGAAATGGGCGGGGAAACTAAACATATTATTTTTCATTGGGTTTTCATCATAAACAGATCAAAATTTGATTATGATACTAATGGAGAAATAATAAACATCAAGGGAATAAATATCAACAAGTGATCCTAAGTGTTTTTAAACAAATTTCAAGCGCAAAGATATTTCTGATAAAAGAAAGCATCTCGATCCTGTCCCAGCAAGTTGTGAAACCATAATATGGAAGATTTTAATAGATGGTTTGTTTTTGTGATTTTAAAAGTACTGATAAAAAAAGGACTACATTTCAAGAAATGGATCAAACATTTCTCTACTTCTAGATTGAAATAAGTAGTAGTCATGCTCTTTCACCTTCTGTACTTGCTTTAGACATAAACAATTGGAGAACAAGTAAAGTGTCATACAGTGATACATCTGTTAACAATCATAGACAAATACAGCTCAAGATTTGGCTGCACTCAGGACTGAAGAGCTGCATGTCAATATTTAGCTGTGTGAGTGTTTTTGATTGAAAAAATATATGAATGCAGCTATGAAGTTTCAAATATTTGAGGTAAGATTTAAATATTTGTTTTCACACCATTCAAACTAGTTTGTCTGTTTACTCAGAAATCCAATAAATGACTCAGGAATTTAAATCAAATAGACACTACGGATAAGAAAAACAAAAGTGATATAAACAACAATATTATGTCATTAAAATAGTGAAATGGTTTCATAGTTTACATGGAATTATGTGCAGTACAAGTAACAAACCTAAGAATGTTTTGAAGTTAAAGTTTATAAATCCCGTATAAATGGACAACATGCCAAAGACATACATTTTATCAGATGTACAATACTAAAATACATTCAGATTTTAATAATCTCCATGTAATTCTTGTCATTGAAAATTGATGCTTCCTAAACTGATAGTCCTACTAATTGGAAGAAAGGTAATTAGGATATGAAATGTCTGATGGGACTAAATATACTTACTCTTGCTAGAGCAGAATCCCTCTCTTCAATAACTGCATTCATTTCTTCAGCGGTTATTTTCTTCTTTCGCTCCCTGGTCTTGTGTATTCGATCCACAATTACAACTCCATTCTTCTCAACTGCTCTTCCTGTATCTGCATAGTTGATTCGGTTCAATAATTCCTGCAATGTCTGTCAACAACATTTATGTGATGTATACAAATTAAAATTTAGTTTTTATTTGGTTTAGATCTTAATTAATGGGCACACATAAAAAATACACTGTCTGAATTGATTTAATTTTTATAGACCATCTGAGATGTACATTATTAGTGTGTCAAATTCATCTTTTCCCACTTCTTTGCTTTGGATACCCACTCAATTGTGCTTAAGCCTCTAAGATACAAGACTGACATTAAAAANTCTCCTTGGAGAATGGCTTACCATGTCATTTTCTTCAGGGTTAATATTTTCCAGCCTAGAAAAGGGACACAGAGAGCCTGATCAGTAGCATTTCCTGAGCACAGCAAAATGAGTTCACTTCCTAAATCTTTCCAACCTCAAGTAATTTCATTCTACTAGTCTTTAGAGTCAACCATGACACTGAACATATTAAAGTGCCACCTGCTCTATTCCGTCCTTCAATAATGCTCCATATCTTCAGCTCTGTCTTCAGGCTGTTAAGTTATTAATGTTTACTGCTATATATGACTACAGGGATCAATTGTTCATATGTGCAGAGATGAAGACAGAGCTGCTATGGCGGCACTGCTAGCACACTCACAGCATTAGCCTCTTCTGCCCTTAGACTTCATAAATCTATTTCAATGTCTCACTTCACATTTCTAAAAACAGTTCTGCCATTTACACATACGACCTTGCACATGTGTTTCTGTGGTGGATTCTCCATGAAAAATGTACTAGGATGTCTTCCAACGTCAACAAAGTGTGTCTGGCTTTCAAATTGGTCTACAGGGTTACATTTTAAAAATAAACAGGGTACAATCTGCTTCAAAAATCATTGGTTACCTTTTTGAAAACAGGGTTTCTTAAATATTTATTTTTCTTCAATGCTCTACTCTTACTATAATTCTTTTACAAATATAAAAGTTTTGTACATGGCTACCACGCACAAAAATTGTGATTTTACCAGCTTTGAAATTCTACCCTCTCCCAAGCATTCTGCTTTAGAAAACCATTATTGGGGTATCAGAGGAGAAAGCATTTCAATCAGTTCACAACAAAATGGGGAGAGCTAGTGCTTTAAGAAACCAACTGTCGAAACCCTTGTGTTTGCCTTTTTTTAAAAAGCTTGCTTTGTTTCTATACTTAATGATTTGTAATTCATTTTAATTTAGAAATTAAGAAGAGTGTGGGACTACAGTATTCATAAAGTAATGAAATTAGGGTTTATTCATCTCTCACATTTGTAAAGCCACAAAACAATATAAAAAAAATAGAATTGCAAAATAATTTTACACTGATCAAAATGAAGAAATTAGTGTCTAACCCTGTTGCTGAATTAAGACACTTTAATCTGTGAAAGACTGAATTGGAACATCAAAATATAATTTGTATACTATGGTCACACCAGAAGGATAACAAGCTACTTACAAGCAATAACAAACAAAACACAAAATCATACAGTGATTGCTGACAACCATGATTAATTTTAAAGTTGAAATATTTCCCCATGTGCCTTCTGAACTCAGCAGAAGTGAAATGTAGGGATATGGTGTTCCCAGTTGGAAAGAAGGAAAATAGGAGGTGGGACACTTCCATTCATCCCCAAACAGTCAGCTCAAGGGGCTTGGGAACGGGTTGAATAGGAATCTTCAATTGAAGAACCAGTACACCACCAGAAAGGGTATGTTTAATTTGATTTTTCCATCAATGGTACTCTCCTGACTCTAGCTTTCCAAAAGAAAGTCTTTTGTACTAATTGAAACCTAAACTATATGCAATGCATTTAAAATATCTTATACAAATCTGTGCAACATGAATGGCTTTTTATTTATTTTATGCAATATACATTTTATTTAATAGAACATACACTATTTTTAATAGTTTAAGGACTAATTTTCTCATGATTGAGACTCATCACTGGCAACCTTGTATTCTGAGTGAACAAAACTTAGTTAAAATGTTTCACACTCACAATTTATCTCAGTTCCAGTTGTTATTTGATTTCTCCCACCCCCACCCCTTTTTTGCACCCACAGCTATTCACCTTGTTCCTTGTCTGCGAAACAATGCTGTTTCCAAGCAACAAAAAAATAAACCAAAGGCACATCACTAAGTAAACCAAGGTAGTTTTTCTTTCTTTCAGCCTTGAAGATCTCTGCTTAGACTTCATGCGAATTCCCTCAGTCACAAGGAAGTTTCTTTGAAATGAAAACCAATTTAGAGTAAACGGAATTGATTTTGGCGACCACAGCAGTTCCAAAATAAAAATGAGTCAATAGTTTTGCTTTTGTTAACTTGCACTTGTCACTTCCTATTCTTTTTCTAGATTTTCCAGCAGCTCCCTAATATATTTTTGTTTGGATAGATCCTTTTTCATGCAACACAAATGCACCAAAGAAATATTTGAAATACAAATTGGGCTTGCTTTGCTCTCCCCATCTCTCAAATTAAAGATTCCAGCACTTAATATGTGATTAAATCCACTGTTGCAAATGAGACAGAAAGTTTTAACTTCATGCAACAATCATCTTATTGAGATTCCAGGTATTTAGATTTCTGACGGCTGCAAAAATATTTAATGTCAACAAAGAAAGATGGCCCATTTCTTAGTTTCATTCTTTGGATCAACATACTGCTGGAATCAGTATCCTCATCTGAGGAAATTTGTTCCACTGCTGTATGTAAGAAGAATTATACCCACAGGCCAGCACATTTTTCACACAAACATTTTTGTTCAAGTAGGGGGAAATGGTGAGACATCATTATGATGCATAGATTAAGATTAACTAAATTAAATAAAGACTAACTAAAGAGGATTTTCTGACAAGAAGTGGAAAGGTTTCCTGCTTTCATTCACATAGCATTCACTTTCTGAAGACTGAAAACAAATTTTGAATCCAGCAAAGTTACCCTGCAATGGTCTGTTCTAGCCGTTTAGATCGGAGAAGTGCTTCGTCTCTCTCCTCATTGGCCAACCTCAGTCTAGACAAAACAGCTGCATCACGTTCCTTTTGTGCGTGATAGATTTCTTCAACTAGAACTGTAAAAGAAAAATGAAGGCAAACAATATGGTATCACGTGAATATCATTCAACTTTTGAACATATTGCATTTTTGGATACAAATACATTGTCTGATTTAAAAATATGATCTAATACAGTATGAAGAATACACCACATCCATTTCAACAATGCTATTTGTAAAATATGCTGTCTTCGGCAGCTGCTTATTTAGAAAAATATATAAATAAGGAAACCAGAGAGGTTAAGTATATTAACAAGTAAGATACTTCCTTACATACCCTAAGCTTCCAATTTAAATACAATTGAACAATCAGATACATATTCATTCAATGTAAAATTACCTGCATCCATAAATTTTATAATACATTAAAATACAATATTAACAGTATGCACATTTGAGAAATTTGGCTTTATTGCATCTTTTAAGACTAAGTGGTAATATTTATAAACTGTACTAAGCAATATTTATCGACTTCTATAAATTACAATTTACTATTTGCTCAATAAAGATTCACAGCAGTTAACCCATTAACAAATACCATTAGTTACAATGTAATCTAAGTAATGTATTTGCAAAGCAAGAGTAACAAATCATTCTATCTTTGTTATTGGATATCTCCATTTTTAAACAAGGAAATTAAACTTCCCGCAATTCACTGAAATTAGAGATGTGGTTGAAAACATTTCACTTCAAATAGGTTTCTGATATGATTGAATACAAACATGAAGATCCATGTACACATAAATATTTGCACATAAAAATTGGGGCATATAACTCTGCATATTACTGTAAGATTTTGCAAGATGAACAAATAGCCTTTGCCAAAACAATGTTATGGGAAAAATATTTGGCAAAAATTAAGTCATTACAACTAATATACATATCAGAAATCAGCAGTGCAAAAGGTCAACTACAGTTCCCCTGCCCAAAAGAACAATGTTCGCTCTTCCTAGTCAAAGTTCACTATTCCCAGTTAATGGAGTATCAAATTTCATTCCAAACTTGCTCATTCGCAACCTGTGTGGCAAGATCACCTGCTCCCAGTCTCAACAATGAATCCGATGAATCACAATTCAATTCAACTTCCAGTTTTTGCTTTCTTTTAGTAAATGTGACTATTGTATTTTTAGAAAATAATTTTAGTTGTTGTGAACTTATAATTTCCCATTATTTCTTTTTTTGAAATCGTCTACAAACTTCCTGGGGCGGGCGAGGTAGTAGATGTGAAGCAGGCCGCTAATATACCAATACTACCTAATACGATACTTAAACCTTATACCTTAAATCAGAGTGACAGTTTATTTATGTTGCACCAATGAACAATGAGGATTTTAACATGCTGAAGTCATTTTAATTCTATCTTTCCAGTTGGGTCTGTACACTGGACTTAGTACATTTACTAAATTGCTAAATCAGGCAGTCTGTGGAACTACCTTGAAAATCAAACTAACTTTATTTATTTCATGAGAACTCTGAATGTGTGTCTAAGTATTGCTTCTCTTTGCCTGATTAGTGAGAAATGTGTAAGGGCACCATAACCCAAGAGGACAGAGGATGATATTCGTGACTTCCACCAAGACTGCCTTGGTGCTGTTAGTAGAGGAGACGTCACAATGGATGAACTCATATAGGGAATGATAGGAGAGGAAGGGGTGAAGCTGAGAGACAACATGTCTCATCACCTTGGACAGCGAGAGTGGGTTGGAGGAGGAGAATAACTGGAGAGTTAGGAGGTGTACAGCATATGTTTTTCAAGAAAAGGGCTAATGATTGTAGTTTTAAAACAGAGGGCCCCTCTGAGAGGGCCGAATGGTTGATGACATTGGCTCTTTGGGATAAGGAGAGCAAAAAGCAGCAATTGGGTGTACAGGAGCTGTGTGAGATGAGGGTCAAAAAACATATGTGTATGTGGTAAGTTTCATGTGGGAGATGAGGGAGGAGAGACGATGGAGAAGGATAAGGGGAGACGAGGGAAGAGAGGGATGAGGGGGTCAAAGATGTGAAGGGTAGGAGGCATAAGGATGGGGGGAGGGAGGAGGGTAGAGGGAGAAAGCTAATGAAGGTAGAAAAGAAACAGTAAAATAAAATCTAATATATTACTGTGTTGAAAGAGGCAAGAGAAAGAAGCAGCATTTAAACGGAACCACGTCTTCGTAGGACCACCAAGTGGAGTAGAAAAAGTAATTAAATCAACTACAAAAGCTTTTCTTCAACTAGTTATATTACTAGTATCAAATGGGCTGGTACTTCTGAAAGAATGGATCACTAGTAGATAAATGTGAATATCTCCATACAAAGGATGCTGTGATGCTTTGAACCAGTTAAAACAATAAGTGATGTTTGAACTGCTGGATGGAGGGTAAAGGCACTGGTAATCATTATTCTCCCTTGTTTACTCAAGGCCTTTCAACAAAACAAACAACTTCTTTGTGATTGAATTGACATGGTGTTAACAATGCATTTAATGCCAATATCAGTATGAATACAGGTAAAGCTCTCCAGAATACTGGTACCAGGATCTCACATTTTACATGTCACTTAAAACTGCCAAAACTTTAAACTCTCCCACCTTTAGCAAACACAGCTAATGTTCACTCGGCCACGTCACATTGCAACAGCTTCTTACATATCCATCCAACAACCCCTGCTATAATTCCATGTGAAATATACCTGCAGCCTTTTCTGCTATTTTGGCATCTGCTGCATTTTCTTGCAAATCCATTTCCATTTTCAGGGTTTCAAATTCTCTCTCTTTTTCTGCCAATTTCAACTTAAGCTAAAAGTATAAACATAATGAATACAGCATAAATATAATGCTTTAAATAACAAGCAATGTACATCATTTTTATTGCACAGATATTTTAAAGTCTTGACAGAATGCCTAGATTAGGTTTAAAGATACTGATGAAAACTATCTTTAATATGGACAACATGATCCAAACTGAATCAAATCTCTTTAACATTCATAATAAACTTTTAAATGTTCAGAAACAGTTCCCCAATACATTTGTGGCAAATAATGATCCAACAGGTGTCAGCCTGGCTTAGTTGCTGACAGTCTCTTGTCTGAGTCAAAGGCTGCGGCTTCAAGCCTTTGAGCTCATAGTTTGCTACAGTTCAGTGCTGAGGGAGCGCTGTATTAACAGAGTTGCTATTCTTCAGGTGAGACATTAAACCAAGATCCCATCTCTCAATTAGCTTTAATATTCCAAGCACTATTCAAAAAGTAAAGGGAGTTTCTCCTGTGTCTTGGATAACAATCCACCAGAAATAAAGTTGGCCATTCACCTCATGTCTGTTTGTGGGACATTTGCTGTGTGCAAATTGGCTGCCTTGTTCAACAACAACAAGATTACATTTGCATAGCGCTTTTCACGTCGGGAAGACGACCCAATGCGCTGGACAGAGTATAGCATTTCAGATTGTATATTTGTTCACCTACAAACATTCAATTGGTACAATTTTGGAAAATCTCTGTATAATGCTTTGAGACATTTCAATGTGAGAAACCTTATCAAGTGCAACAATTATTATTGTATAACACATGGGTATCCCATATAATGGGTTAGCCTAGTAATATAAATCTTATATATATTACATAGTTTGGATTTAAGTTGCAGAGTAAATATGAACACCTCTATGTTGCTTAATGATATCAGATCAATTACTTAGGAAAGCTTCAATAGAACTCATTGTGCTAATTATTACTAGGTTAACTAGGTAGTGTGTGTGTACACTGCAGCAAGTCCATGATCAAGAATGGATCTGAATTATATTGTTCTATCTAATGCAATGAGTTCAGAGTTGGTTCGAAAGTGAAATTGTGATGTAGGCATTTTTATTTTGAAACAACATTTAAATAAACTTGCGCTGTACAGATGGTATATTTTAATTTTCAACAGCTGCTAATTACAATCAGAGAAATCAGCTAGGGATATGGATACATTCATGCCAGCAGTTCCGGAAGTGATAGTGGCCAGCTGCAATCAAATTGCGGCAATCATCACAATATGAGTAATTGCAGCATCATAAAAAATTAAAATTTGACATTTCCAATATGACAGATGGCAAGGCAAAGAATATAGCACATAATTATATTCATTTCTATCGTTAATGTGACTGGTTGCAAAAACAATAAAGTAATCTTAACAGTAACTGTACCTTTTTATTATATTCACTCATACCGCCCAGCTCTTTCAACAGGAATGCTATTCTCCTGTTATCATCGGAGAGTTTGGTAACTTGACCTGAGGTTAAAGGGTCACCTGGTGCATTTCTACCTCGGTTTTCAGTCCTGCCGTTACAAATGAAAGACAGAAATCATTTAACAGGGCTCAAAGATCACCTGCATGCACAAATTTAGTTCAGAAGCTGATGGCACCTTTTTGATTGAAGACTTGGATAGTGCAAATAATAGCTGCATATAAAGTGGCTCTAGTTATTCTAAAGCATGATAATCTTAATCTCTTGGGACTCTTATGTGTGGAGCATATATTACAAGGAGCGCTCTTGGATAGAAAAAGCTGAAAAATTGGAAGTTACTTATGATGTTCTAACATGTAAAGATGTCTAATGTTAATATAATATTGGAGAAATTATATATTTGACCTTAAAACATTCCTGGGTAAATATCATTTCAAAATAGAATATTTTAATAGTACTTTCAAATAATATCTTTTTCTTTATAGAATACACCTTGCATAATTAGTACCTCAATTCTTGACCACATGCTGCAAATGTTTCTGTTTGCAACTATGCCTTCTGGAGGTAAACTACATGATGCTTTTGTGGCTAACAGCTGCAAGAAACTCCACACAGCTGTTCAGTAGCTTTTATTTGCTTACAGAATAGAGTTTCCTAAAAATATTTGATCTGATTTTTTTTTGCTCTACCTACACTGAATACAGTATACAAAAATCTTTACCAGTTTGCATTTATACTTTTTTAAAAATAGACACACTAACCTTTGGAATTGAGATTCAAATTCAGTCCAGAGTGACAGAATGTCAGATATAAGGGTTGTATGTGAAATGAGATTAGATAGTTTCAACCAAGGGCGCAGGTCCACAGGAAATAATTCTATACAATTCTGCATAAATTGGCACTAGCTGGTAGTCTTAGTCAATCATATTATAATAATGTCTCTATGTAGCAAATAGAAATTGAAGATCTATGATCTATATTAGCTTTCTGGCAAAGTTTTCATCTTTAATAACACCCAACCCTATTATAATTTTGATGGGAGTATCACAGTGTTGTGAAACAAGTCTTCTTCCTGTCATATGATATAAATGACATGGCATGTCAACAGTTGGTAGTTATAATGAAGAGCATCAAAGCAGAACCAACATCTAGAGGAAATATTATCTGTTCAAAGTGCTCTCACTAGATATAGATTAAAAAAACATAATAATATTATAGTTCACTTGCAGTGCACTTTCTAGAGTAATCTGGGGTTTATCTCAGATAAACAGAATTTATGCTGTTGCGGTGCGGATACACATGATATTCTATTATAATATATCATATGCTCTTCATCCAACTGGGAGTCAATTTGATATCTCCCAACCCAAGAGACCACTATTCACTCAACAAGACCTTGCTTGAAGACAGATTTGCCATACATTTTTGGACCACTGGAGTCAAGAAAATATTAAACACCAAACAAAAATCCAAGAAAATACAAAAGTTAAATAATGATTCTTAAAAACATGAAATGTTGCTCATTTTCATTTGACAGATTGAAAATATGAAGACAGACCGTAGAAATTTGAAGTGTAAAATAAAAAAACTGTTCACAACAGTATTTGCTTACATTTACATTTCCAAAGCTTACTATTGATTCCTAGAGGGTAACAAGTACGTACAGAATCTAGAAACTTAGCAGGCAAAGCAAAATATAACATATATATATTTATGGTAATTGGTACATTCAACAAACTCAATTAAAGTATTATTCTGTTCTCAATAGTAAATTGTAGATAGATGTAGCCATAATGTGATTGCCAGTGTTTTTGTGCGACAAGAGAACACCTTCTTACAGCTCTCACAAGAAAGAGGACGTAGCAAAATATTCGACTTGGAATTCAGGATCCTGATCATTGGGAAATTAATTTTAAAAAAAACCTGAAAGTACAAGGAAAAATACAATTTGGCAATGACAAATTAATTTACAAATAAGGAAGTGAGTGCTCAAACATTTCTGCAGAGGGATGAGGTTTCTGCAACCTTTTTAGGTCACCAGACCAATTAAGTTGAAGGCTTAACAGTCATTATGGTTATTAACCTTGTGAATGGAGTTTCCAGGGATCAGAAACAAAATCAACAAAGCTTTTAGAGAATACTATCACATTTGTATGCATCTAAATACTACTCTTTGGATAGCTTTATTTGCCCAAACCCTTTCCCCTTAAATTTCCCAGGTTTCCATTAAATAATAGGAAGGCCTGGATGGCTCTTTACCTTGAAGAAGATGGAGCATGTCATTCAATCCCTCTCCTTGTGCTCAGAGAATTTGGATCAGAAATATCCTTCTCAGCCTTTAATAAAAAATTTACGACAAAGCTAACTCTATTATAATGAGTTTCTGAAGAGGCTAAAAGAAAAGGTCAACTTCTCAAGATATTTAATACACCCCTTTATCATTAATCTTAAATCTATTATGGATCCTTGGCTTATGGAAGTTGTACATCTATTTTCCTCATCAAAATCAATAGCAATATCTCGAAAAAAATGTTTAACGGCTGACAAATGGCGATTTCTGGCCATGCGGGTTGGTTGTTCCTTGTTCTATGGGTCTTATCAATTCTGCTCAAATATTGGCCACCTGGTGGTGGGCAGCAGACCTCTTTCCCTCCTTCCCTGTGAGAAGTGGTGGTTTCTTGCTGCCTCTCAGTACAGCTAATTGTGGAAACTCATTGTATGAAAAATCCAGTTGCAGATCAGCATCCAACTACTTGTTTGAGAAGGAATGTACTGTTCTTTGTTCCTACCTTCATAGGTTCTTAAGAATAGAAAGAGCATTTTTTTTTCACCCAGAAAAAAAACATAGACACCCATTAAACTTAGCAGAGATTAGAACCAATGCACAGTCAAATTGAACTTACTGCATTGGTTTCTATGAAGTGAGAATGCTAAATTACAACATTAGTTGCATCAAGTTTGTGATTTGAGCCTGGAATCTGAAATGTATTTGCAACTGTTTTGGCATTGTAATTATTCATTGGAAGTTTTGCTATCTTAGCTGTTGTCTCGATATGTTCTTTTTATTTGCTTGCAAGAAAGAAAATTGAGCCGGAAACCAGTATGAGCATCTTGTTCTGATTCCCCACTGTCGAGCTTGGAGTATGGATCATATTTGGAACAAAGGCTTCAATGCAGAGACCGAGCTGTGGTCTTCAGAACCCCTTAAAAGGCCCGCCTTAATTTAACTGACCCTTTGATTTTACACGGGTGAAAGAAAGCTAGATAAAAAGAAAACAAGATTTTCCATTCTTTACAAAACAGTGACTGCTAAACCTCTTTAATACTGATTAGTCTTCCATTGTTGTCTGGACATTTTGTCAAAGGGATAGTGGGCAGATCACAGAAATGCAGTTACTTTTAGAAACATTCTGAGGTGTTTCAACAATCATGTTAACACCCCCAAACACACAGCTGGATGCCACAGGGAGTTCTCTGCTTTGTTTCTAATCCAACAATGCACTCTCCAGTTAAACCTCAGCAACAATGCAACTCTGCAGTTAAACCTCAGCAACAATGCAACTCTGCAGAGCAGCACCTCCTGATGACAAATCACGGAGTGACTTTGATAACAATTGGAGATGTCTGTGGAAATATGTTACTTTTGTTTGAAACAGGAAGTACAGAAATGGAAAGTAAAAACGTAGATAGTTTAAAGGACAGAAAGTATCTATTACGCCATTCCAGTGCCAGCTCCCTCGTGTAGGCTATCTTCTCCAATTTAATTCTGCCGCTTTTCCTAGTATCATGTAATGTATTTTTTCAAATATTTATCCAATTCCCCAGGTACAAAGCCCTGAGATGGTCTTACTGTGTAAACATGTATTCCCACACATATTCATGCTTGTGCACAAGAAGACCTCATCGTGTGAAGGCACTGACCTGATTGAGGATAAAAATAAGTAATGAACTTAAGATTTAGTTTGCCATTTTTACCATTTAAAAGAAAGTGTTAAAGCAATTGCTGCCAACATTTTTTGTACAAGGAATCTCACTTTTAATCTCGTCCACTGATTGTTCAGATGCCTCACTAAGCTATGATCACAAAAAGTGTGATCAGCCTGGAGCAGTGGTTGTGCTCTCGTCTCTGTATCAGAAGATTGTGAGTTTAAGCCCCATGTCAGGACTTGGAATTACATAGTCTAAACTGGCACTCCAATGCAGTGCTGGCGGTGTATTGTAGGCGATGCGGTCCCTCGGATGAGATGTTAAACCAAGGGCCTTTCAGCCTGTTCAGGTGGACATTAAAAGATCCCATGACACTATTCGAAAAGAAAAGGGAGTTTCTTGCGGTGTCCTGGCCAATAATCCCTCAAATTTAAATTGGTCACTCACTCCATGGCTGTTTGTGGGACATTGCTGTGTGCAAACTGGCTGCCATGTTTGCCCACAAAATACACAGCCGGTCCACTTTACAGTATATCCTGTAAAGCGTCTTGAGATGTCTCAATGACGTGATAAGATGCTATACCAAATTCAAGGATTATTATTATTAAGTAGCAATTGATCATTTTGCCTTAAGATCATCATTAAAAATCTTCCAACACTTTAGCAGCAAAGCATCTAATAACCCGTTATCATCAAGAATTAGTTAAATTATACTGTAGATGGCAGTTCACGTTTTAGCTGTTTTTAAAATTTATAAATAACAATGTCAGAATTTTAAGAAATGTGAGACCTATTTTCTCCTTCTATCTCTTTAAATTGGTTGTAAATGAAAATCCCATCAATGTGAAGAATTAACAGATTTACATTTTTCCACCACCCCTAATGTTCTTTTTTCCTTTTCTGCAAAACGAAAGTTGTTCTTGAACCTGAGATGTTTTGAGAACATCTAGCTCTTAAAAAGTCATGAAAGAAAACCAAAATGTTAACTACAGATCTAAGAGGTGAAAGGTCAGCATAACAACACTACTCCATATATTTTTGAATAATTGTACTTGTTAAAAAAAATTAATACCAATTATTCCCAATGAGATATATTTCTTAAATGTATTGAATGAAAACCACTATACCTGATATTGTTTTCTTCTTTCTTACTTTGAATATCCACCTGCAATCCTGAATCCATTCTTTGGCTGTGTTGTGCATAGGAAAATGATGTGGTTGTCATCTTGCCGGATCCTGGCACCAGGACAGCAGTGTCTCTTTCATGGTTGGGATTGCTACATTCACCACTTTCTAAATAAATACTGGAATTTCTAGGAATGTTGTAGCGCCACTGTGCTGTATCAAAGGAGTCAATTCCCAGATCAACTTGTTTCTTAGTGGAATTTAGAAAAGGTTGGACCTCCTGTGACTTCTCATCAGAATAGGAGTGAGCATTTACCTGCAATGTATTAAAGCTGCTTTCGGCACAATTAGTGAAATCATGCACTGTTCCAGGATGAGGTTTTGGCAGAAGTCTACGTTCAGCTGCCATACCCTGAGGCAATGCACATGTAAACATATCTGGTTTCTGCTTACTGTTATTGGGATTGTTGAGGGCTAGACCACAGGCATCTGTTACAGTTTTATCCTGCTTCCCTTTTTCATTGAGATCCTGAGCTTCATCCTTGTAATCTGCAACAATTAAAACAAATATATATTTGGTTTCATGCTTCACTTCATTCAGGTAATATAATAATAATAATCCTTGCATTTGATATAGCGCTTTTCACGTCTTCTAGATGTCTCAAAGCACTTCACAGAATATGCTGTAAAGTGAATTGACTGTATATTTGTGGGTGAAACGTGGTAGAAAATTGCACACAGCAGTGTTCCACAAACAGTCGTGGATTGAAAATGACCAATTTACTATTATATTGTTTTTTGGAGGAATTATTATTAGGTGTGTAGAGTAAGGAAAATAGCCCAAGGTTTCGCCCTGGCTGGAATTGAACCCAGGTGTCTCGCTTGCAAGGCGAGTGCTCTAACCACTGAGCTACAGGACTCCAGGTGAGCTATATCAACAGGCACATACGTACAATTTGATGAAGTCATACAATGGAATATTTCTGAGGGAGCTAGCAAATGCTAGAAACATTGGGAGTGAGATAATATCATGATAGCAGAGAATATCTGTCAGAACGAATATTGATAATATTGTAGTTTTCTCATCTGTGGCAAAGGTGCATGATGATTACAAGTTGTTACTGACCAGCAAGTTTGCACATTCTTGCTTGACAATAATATAAACCAATGGCTATTATTTGGTGTATTCATGCCTTCATATCACAATGTGGGCTGGATGCTGAAGATAAGTGAGACAGCAGTGCACAGGAGCAATAACATTTTGCATTTTTACTAAAGTTGCTTTGTTTTTAGCTAACAGGTTTGATAACAATTATTCTAGTGCAACACAGAGGGTTAAAAAGAACCTTTGAGTTTCTGCTTGTTAGAAATAGTACTAATGGATTAACCCAAAGCTGTCTATGTAAACATTCTCGAAAAAAACACCAAGCAGATTTACCCCAGTAAACAAATGCTTTAATACCCTTGTATGCTTCTGACAAAATCACTGAATTAATAGGTTCCATATTTTTGACCAACTAGATTATACTAAATCTTTTTTGACTGGTACCTGCACTACATAAATATAATTCTTGGTAGCAATAACTGGTGAACATAGTATTTGTTTATCAATTATTGATGGACCCATATTGCATATGGGCTGCAAAAGCGTAGCCAATTTGGCAGAATCACTGGGTCGGTAAATACATTCTTTTTAATCAAACATATACTTTTAAGGAGTACTAATGGTTTAGTATCCAGATAAGCGACCAACTGGTAATACATTTGAAGCAAAGTATACTTCCTGACCACATTCACTGGTATATGCACAGTATTTTATTTTTAAGGCCAAAATTATCACTACAGTGTATTGTTAGAGATGTAAACTATATCAACTTATTTTTTCTAATTGCGTCCACAATATTATATTTCAGGTCTATTCATTAAAGTGGATGATGAACCACCCGATCCTAACAAGATGTCATTTTTGTTTTTCTGTGGGAGCAACAATAACAAAACCTTTGTTTAAACAAAGTTTGCTCTGGTCATTTTTATAAAAAAAAATTTTTTGGCTTGTCAGACTTAACAATTTAATATCAAACTTAAATTTTGTGTAGATCCATCATTAAATATGATTATATTGTTAATGTCCTGCTCTAAAAAATAAAAACATTGAAAATGTTTTTAAAAAGCACTGGATGGCTTTTGTAGGACCGTTTTACACACTTAAACTACAAATCTGAATAAGTTGTGGTCATTCAATAGAACATTAACTGTTATGATGCACATTGCTGAATGTGGATTTAGTTTCTAAGCTATATCACTTTTACGATTACTTAATGCATTGAGATATTTGATTATTCCTCAACATTAAAATTTATAGAATATTGGACAACAAAATAATTAGCTGCAACAATCCTCCTTAAAAATGCAATGGTCCAAAATGACTTTATACATTTTTAGATTCCCCTTCCCTTCTTTCTAATTAAGAACTTAACTTTTTATATACAAAATAAGGCAACTTGAATCTTGCAAGACTTGCTCTGGAATAGCTTGTTAATTCTGTCCTTGCTTTTTCAGATACTGATTTAGTCAAAAAAAGTTAAATAATCTCTAAACCTGTAAGCACAATTTTCAGTTATCTTCCAATATTGGGCATTAAAGCTGGCATTTTGTGGCATTTAAATGAAACTTTTTTTGATTCAGGTAATGATAGATTTCAAGCTACATTTGTTGTGATGTAATTTATTAACCTGGTTAATATGCAGGTAAGGGCGACTATTTGAATAAAACATTATCAGAGAGTCTACAAAGGCTTTAATATATCAGTTCATCAGTCTGGAGAGTGGACAATTATTTTACAAAAGGTCAGTTTCCAAAATGGAGATCAGGGAGGCCTGCTGTGTAGCTTTGTTGCTAAGGATTTCTAGTCTGGATTGCTGCAGACATTTATTAGTATTCTCATCCAGGCCCACCAAGACAAACATGAATTTAAAAAGAATAATAAAATGAAATGGTGCTATATAGCTCTTTGTCATTCAGCAAACATAGGAATTTTAGCTACATTGTTCCAAAACCTGGGTTACTACCTTAAGTTTTCTTCACAACATAGACTCAAAGTGTGTGCATGTGTGTTAAATGCAGGAGCTCCTCTAACAACTGCAGACCTTCCATTTAATCTGAAACTGGATGTACCATTTCCTCTGGGAACTCTTTCAATGATCAACAGGAAAAAGCCAATATCCAAAATAAATCTCAGATTAGATATTTCAAATGAAATCTGCCTTTGGCAGATAAAAATGTCAAGATGAATATGAACAGTAAAATAATAAATTTTCTGAGTCGTGCAGTAGTTATCAATGACTCTTTCATTCATACCATTCCTTAGATTTCAAACTGCACAAGACATTCATCAAATATCACACATTCAGGTTATTAAAAACATCATTAAAACTGTTTGTCTAAGAACTCAGAAGTATTTAAGCAAGAGACAGATGTATATTTGTGTAACGGAGAAGAATAAATTTACATATCAGCATCAACTCATAAGGGATGAGTAAATACTCTGTTTATCTCTCATTGTCATTCCACCCATTTACCTCCATACATATACACTCAAAGCCGTTCGGCGTTAGCACTCTGGTTTCAGGGCGATTTGGTCCTGTAAGTATGTTGCATTTCTCAACATTCAATTAAGAAGCTTAGTAACATGAAGTAATTTTTACATATAAATGTTAATATTATTTAATTGCCACATGCTAGAAGTTATTTATTACACAAGAAAATACTCAAAATCTATGCTTTTGTTTTGCAAAACAGAAAATGTAGTGTTGTAAATATGAATTATGCTGTTTTTTATACTTTATGTAACTGCATTTAAAGTGTAGAAAGAAAAGTGTGTTGATGAGAGGAAGCCTAAAAGCATAACAGGATTAGTTGCAATACTTTGTAAAATTAAAGGTTGTAATAAGATGTTATGGTTTGCTGGTTGCATTGTTGTGCATTCAATATGCATTGAAAGCAGCCCTACTTTTAAAAATGTTTTAAATCTCTGAAGGTATTGAACTCAAGAGTTAATATTTTAAGTTTTATTTTCTAAAAATATAACTCGCTTTAAGTAAATGTACAAATTGATTGCTTCAATTGGTTAAGAGGAGAGTTAAGAAGGTCCCCTCTAATGCTGTGTTTATACTGCTGAGAGCTAACAGCAGTACAGTAATGTAGAACGGAAATCCTAGTTTATTCTTCCCATTGTCCATCCTATTGAACCTGGGCCATAACAAAAAAACCCTATCAGATTCTGAAATCAGATGTTTTATTTAAATTTTACTAAAAAGCTGATTGTTTGGTGAACTCTTTAATTACATTAAAAAAATGATCTCTTGAAAGTTCTTGAGTGGATCAATGACTGTCTAGGACATTTGAAGAGACAATGGAGGAGCAATTCAGTGCAATTCACACCAAGCACGTTGATACTCCAGCAGATTGCAAATGTACTGTTTCTGAAATCACCTCCTCCACATGATGACAGTATAGTTCCCGTGCAACTGAATCCTTCAATTGTACTGCATATTTAATGCGAAACACTCCCTAAATTGCAGTGATTAGAAATCAATGATAATAATAATAATCCTTGCATTTGATATAGTGCGTTATCACGTCTTCAAGACGTCTCAAAGCACTTCACAGAATATACTGTAAAGTGAATTGAATGCACTATAAATGTAGTATTTTATTTTTCTAAAAGATGAGAACTATATGAACTAAATAAATTAAGATTTGTTTAATAGAAACATGAAATGTTTTTTGTCTCTGTTAAATAACAGCACCTTGGGACATCCACCTGATGCAAAAGGCGCTACCTAAATGTCATTTGTTGCTGCCGTTGTTGAAATATACTATATGTTGTCAATACATATTTGTTAGGAATTGTTATGTGGTAGTACATTTTAAGAATACCGTACACTTAAAGTAAAGAAAATTCTAGTTTTAGTAATTTTCAGACACAATGAAGAAACATACTCCAATGGAATAGCTATTAATTTGAAAATTCTAGGTGTTACTATTGGTTAGATAATCCTCAAATTCTTGGTTTATTAATAATGTTCAACTTGGGACTGTATTATCGTTTGGCGAAAGACCTTAGAACATTCAACTTTAAAGGGCAATTAAACCTGGATGAATTTAATAAAATAGTTAGTGTAAAAGCCAGCAGAAAATCTTGCGTGGGTGCTGCCAGCAGCAGCACCCACACAAGATTTTCTCACTATTATAAACAGTATTTCTTGCTTTAAACAATTAAATGTATCTGTGGAAGGAAGCTTGTCTTATTAATACTTCCTGTAACTGCCAAGAAAGTCTTGTTCCAACAGTTTCCTTCACTATTCTGTCTGGATTACTTTAAAGTAAAATGTTTTTAGTGGAGAATAATAAACAATAAATACAATATCACAATAAAAATACATGAAAGATTTACCTTCTGACCACCCTTCCATTTGCATGGATTTATTTTGATTTTTTTTCGACTTTACTTCTTTCTTCAGGTTTTCAGACCTGTAAAGAACAAAATTAGTAGGATGTAAATCATGAAATAACTTTGGTATACAGGGTCCATTGTGCTTAGCTGTTTTCTGAATAAAATATCTAGGTTTATGGGAAAAGCATTTCAGAAATGTCTTTACATTCATTTAAATATTCACTTTTTTAATACTTACAACTACAATAAAATAAAGAAGCAACTATAGAATATTAAGGTTAAAGATTACCAATAAGCTATTTAGATTAATTTACATTTCTTATGAAGGACATACTACCTGCAAATAAGATGAATGTAATATTTGACTGGAAAATTGTTTGGTTTAATAAAATAATTTTTATTAGTAAAGGTAAAGGGTATGACACCAAAATTCAATCTTTTATATGAAGCTCCCAATAGTGTAGTACTGTATTAAGAAAAAATGAAAACAGTGTTAAAAATGAAATATCATTGGGTAGAATAACTTATCCAAACTTATGACATTACTTAACTTTTTGGGGCTTGATAGACTAAAAGTAATTTAAATTGCCATCTCTTTTTGTCCATATCTATCTAATCACGATCATTACATTATTTGAATATTAGTTAAGCTTGCTAAGCATGTATTTCAACTCAACTTCTAATCTATTAAGTATGCAGAAAGTTACTGAATACATTAAAATGCAAAGTAGCCTCATGATGTTCCTTGATCTCCTTACCTAGCCACTATTTCATCAAGTTCATTATGGAAACCCTCCAATGAAGTCTTCCTTTTCCAGTTCTCAGCAGCAGCGCTTCTTGGAATTCAGGCAATCTTTCACTCAGTTCCTCATTTACTTTTGGATTAGCTGAAATGCAGGTATTTTTATTACATTAATTAAATGTACTGTACACGTCTCAGTCAATGGAGCTATAGAACTACAAAAAGGTGAATCATAATTTCAGTCTCTTAATATTTTAATATACCAAGACATGGAAAGAAAGCAATTTTTAATAATCTCTTGGGCATTTTCAAAGAAGGCAGACTGCCCTATTGTTCATAACACAAATCATACATTTCATCCCTCCATAATGTACAGTCATTCTTCAACACCAATTTCCAAGCTAATGATTGCCAGCAATTAACAAAACGTAATCCCATTGCGCAATCATTTTAATGCTTTTAGCACTCAGAAAAGTAAACATGAAATTAATACAGCTGAAGCCACATTAGATCCTGGTTAGCTGCAGGCAATTATAGTTCAGCTCCTCAGGTGTAATTAAATGATTGAAATGATTTAGTTCAATAAATGCAAGTTAATTCATAAGTAAGCAACAAATAGACTGGGAGCAATTACAAGAAACACTGACATCCTCAGCTCATCCTGTTGCTGCATGCTGCATAAATGGAGAAGATTGCCATCTGCTGGCAAAAGCTCTAATACGAACAATGTAAATGCAGAAGTCACAACAATATTAGCATGCACCACTGGACTCGAATATTACACATACAATACTTAATGCATACAATTCCCTTTCGAATCAAGAAAAGCTATAAAAATACACACCCCATCACTTTTTCTGATTACTTCAGAGAATAAGACGCATGATTGACGCTTCTCTGGCTGACCCCCAAAATACTGTCTCTTTCTTATAGCAAATTCATTTTACACAGCCCAAACAAGTCAACCACCCATTTGCAGCTGATCATCAGTGCATCTGCATGCTGAGCAAGATCGGCCACAAAATACAGTCACTGCACTTTACATATGAACGGCACTATACCAAATGTAAGGATTATTATTAAATACAATACAAAATTGCATTTGTATAGCGCCTTTCACATTAGGAGGACGTCCCAAGTGTAAGATCATATTTGCATGTCAATTTACAATAAGATTGTAAATTCCTAACCAAGCTAACTGATTTACTGGTCAAATATTTTAAAACAATATTATTGTGGTTTTACTTCTTTGAAAATAAATCTGTGCTTAGTGGTCCAAGATATTCCTCTATCTGAAGGGCTTTATATAAATGCAAGTTGTTCTGGAGCCAAAATACTTTTAAGCAGTTTGGCACATTTGTTTTATTTAGCATTTTCTTACACTCAGTGGAAAATTTAAATATCGTCTTTCATTTACAGCTGAAAACATTTTGTCATGTCTATTCACCTCCAGTTCATAGAGACATAGATAACAAGAGATTGACTGACTGAAATCTGTCTCACAAGTGAAGGATGATTAATTTTACAGTATATTCTGGGAGCTTTGAGACGTCTCGAAGGTGTGATAAGGCACTATATCAAATGCAAGGATTATTATTATTATAAACTCAAAGATGTTTCAAATTTCTACATTACACCAATCAGGACACAGCATTATTGAAAACAATGTTGTTGAGTGATTTTTGTGAAAGTACTACTCTTAATCATTCCCTTCTCCCCCCACCCCAAACACCTCTCTGGTCTTCATGCACATGCGCACACACACACACACTGAAGAGTGGATTTGATTTGCAATTGTAGCTCTGAACTGCAAGTCCTAAGAGATGCACAAGAATAATTATTTTCTTATCCCCTCTGTTTCCTGCCTCCATTGACCAAGCCTGCTCTGGTTTAACTAAGCAACTCAGCACTGGTGTAAAACTTGCATTCCACCCCCCATGGCGCCAGATAAAATACCCCACAACCCTCCTCCCCATTTTAATCTTTGTCACACACCACCTCTGCTACCAAGTGAACAATTTACTCCCAGACCTCTGTTAATTCCACTTTTGAGCCATCAGTTTAGATGAGTGCAAAAGTGGGCCAGACATAAGACACCTAAAATGTCCCTTCTTCCCTACAGGGAAATGCCTCAGCTCCGCTTTGTGATTTCTTAATCACCAGGTTGAAACCAGTGTGAGGAATCATCTATACAAAATCACCTGCTATTGTTTCTTGGCACAGAGCACCAGTGCTCACATACCATGCCATCAAATAGGTCATTTTATAACAAATGACTTGGACGGAAAAAAAACTAATATTTCTGAATTTTCTATCCACACTATTACATAACCATTATCATTTCAGTGATTTGTTTTTGTTAAAAAGCTATACTTTTTTGCATACTTTTTCTAGAAACTCTACATGTAATACTTTATCATTTCAATGTAGGGCATATAGCTAAATATTGTTTATCCGTTGCGTTTCTTTACATACTAACCTTGAATTTTTTTGCTTTTTCTTTCAGTGAATAAATAGTTCCCTGAAACTTGCAGTGTAGTATGAATCATTCATGTAAAAATAGAAATGGATCTTTCTTCATCACATCTCACAAAATAAACATTCACACATTTGCATCATAATCTGGATGAAGTACATTTGAAGTCTGTCAAAAACATAGAGCCGCTGTAATCTCACACTCCCCCAAAAGTTCCAATTTCAGTTTTGACAAGCACCGCTGGATTTTCACTGTCCTCTAATTTAAACAAAATTCCATTAATTTTTTAAGCTGTATTTAATATATTCATCGAGTGAAAACTACATGAAATTTCGGCTTCCTGTGACTGTCATTTGTATTCAAGCTGACTTGATGAATATTAATAGCTGTGCTATTCTGATTAAATAGGCTTCATATAAAATCCCTATGAATCCTGTAGCTCTAATGACACCTCGTTTTTCATATTCTTTATGAATTTTTATTCAGACATGAAACTGCCCAAAAATACTTAAACAAGGTTTAATTTTATCTTTGATTGCCATCTAAGGCAAATTGGCACATATAATGACTTAATTTATCTGCATCAAGTCACACAACTGTTTTACCTTCAGCAATACTTCCCAAGGAACATTTAAATTCCAACAATTAAATAATACAAGTGCCTTGTGGAATGTAATGAACTTTAATGTTATATTAAAAGAAAACTTTTAACACAGATTGCATTATAGAGTAAATTCATTTAAGACCATCAAGAATGGCACATCCAAGTAAAGATTCAAAGATTTCACTGGCATTGGAAAATCTTTAGAAATATGGCAATAAAACAAACAAATATCTTCCAGGAAGATATACAGTTAGGACAGTGACGAAGATTTACTAAATGTACAATAGGTTTTTATATAAAATATAAAAAATCTATATACTATACAGATTAGAACATTGTAACATTTTGATTATGCAATGTAGAAGCTATATGTTCTTAAAATACAAGGAATTAATAATAATGTTGAATGGTTAAATTATTAAATTTTGTATGCATTTTCGAAAATTTTCAATTAACTTTACCACTTTACAAGCAAATGTACTGTACCAGGGCCAAAGAAAACGTTGCTGGTCTCAAAGACATTCTGATCCAGAATCTGACCATGTCAGTTTTAATTTTGATTCATTTTGTATAGCAATCAAAACTTTTTTACATTAACACAAAGCTTGATTTCTATAGGACCCTTAACAATGAACTGTAATGCAAAAGGTATAAAATACTAATTTTAATGTGGGCAAAATTATGATTAAAATATGATTTGAATCTAAGGTAAATATTATTTTCATCCAATGCGAAAGTACTTATTTTAATCTGGGAAGGTCGCATTGTGTGGGATAAAACATCTCTAAATGATACAAATTACTCCAAGAACTCTGAGCTAAATATTCTTGGGAGGTAAGGTATTAGAGATCAACAAAGGTCTCTATATCAACTTGCAGCACCCCTAATTTTCACCCGAATCTAAAACCATCTTATTCAGCACTAAGAAGGATCAAATTCAGGACCTTTCCAACTTTTATGGCCCGAAGTCGGAGTGGACATTGAATTTTATCAACTGAATCCCTGGAGAAGCATGAAAGTAATATATCTAAAATAGGGTGACCATACTTTGTGAACCCAATCTGGGTACACATAAAAAAATTGAACTCACCACAATTTCTGATCCTGGTAGTAATAATAATCCTTGCATTTGATATAGCGCTTTATCGTTTAGCATCTTCTAGATGTCTCAAAGCATTTCACAGAATATACTGTAAAGTGAACTGTACATTTTGTGGGCGAAACGCGGGAGCCAATTGCGCACAGCAGTGTACCACAAACAGTCGTGGATTGAAATTACCAATTTATGATTCTCACTTTGTATGAAGGGATTATTACCCCTGGAAAAGCGATCCGACAATTGACTAACAAACGGGTTCCTACTTACTGCTAGGTAAACAGAGGCATGTGGAGTAAGGAAACTTGCCCAACATTTCATCCTGTCAGGAATCGAACCCAGGTCTCTCACTTGCGAGGCGAGTGCTGTAACCACTGAGCTACAGGACTCCAGTACCAGAGAAGGGTAAGAAATATCCTGAACTACTTACTGAGCAATAATCTAGAAATATTACTATTAATATCAGGTTCAGTTTTAGTCCAGAGTATGGTTATCTTCAGACTATTTGAAAAAAAATTCTACAAAAGCAAAATAAAATCAGAGACAACTAGTTTAAACAAATAGTGCAAATATTTTCAATTGATAAAATTGAGGAACTTGACATTGTGAACATTGATAGCAACATTTTACAGATTCAATGAAACTAGACTTTTAACAACCTAGCAACGAGCAATTTTCACCAATGGAAAACAGAAATTGTATCCAGTGTGTCTGGCTTTAATTTTATTGCTTCCATGTGTTAACAATCTGTCATCTCAACTTGGAGACTGAATAGTTTGTGCTGCATAGTGAATGTTTCTTGGGCAATTTTCATGTTTCTTAAAACTAATACAGTATTGCTTGGGAGTCAATTTTCTTAGATTTATTCCTTTGACCATCTATGAAATTTTTTTGGCTGTGAAGTCATTTGTGTCTTTTGGACCCTTCCCCTACCCTCTTTAGAGAGCAATAGATTCTGACAAGGGAAGTCCAGTCTTGCTTTTGATAACTATACAGAAGTTGCTGAAAGTACTAATTGAGGTGTTCTGGAGGAATTTTATTTATTTCGCTCTAGCCATGTGTGAACTATTCTTAGTTCCTCATTTCTAGTTCTTTTCCAAAAAAATATTGCCCATCTGTGGTGTCTGAAATACCTTCCTGTTGAACTTTTGTCTACAATATTTTGATGTCAGACTGGCTCAGTTGGTAGCAATCTCGCCTCTGTGTCAGAAAGCTTTTGGGACTCAGATACACATTGGGACTTTGAACTGGTGCCAGGGGTGTGCTGTATTGCTAAATATGTCATTCTTTAGAAAGAGGTGTTAAACTAAGGTCCTGTCTGCCTGTTCAGGCAGACATTAAAGATCCAATGCCAATACTTGCAAAGAGAAGGGAGTCCTGGCCAACAAACTCGAAATTAATAAAAGTTTAACAAACCAATAAAATAAGTGAATTGGATGATGTAATATAGTTTAATAATAATAGATTAACAGATAAACGGAATAGCATCAGGAAGGATACCATGTGATCCTAGAAAGCAGATCAAAATGTGAAGGAAATGCAAGAGTCTGAAAAATCTTACAACTAACATTTCTACAACTTTCAAATAATACATTAACTATACCTGTGTTTGCCCTTTCCTTGAACTTTGGAACCAAAGATCAAAGGACAGATTTCTTTAACACTTCCCATTTTTTGTTTTATTTTCCACCCAATGAATTTATTAAATTTTAAGGATTTCTTTAAAGCAATGACAAAGGATTAAAAGTGAGATCTAGTTCCAGCAAGCAATCAGAAGAGTTCCATCTGGAGAGCAGATACATTTGTGAACTGATATGTTTGGGAATTCATATCTGGCACAAAAACAGAAGTCCCTGGGAACACTCAGCAGGTCAGACAGCATCTATGGAGAAAGGAAAGTGAGTCAACGTTTCGGGTCAACGACCCTTCATCAGAACTGGCATTTGTTTCAGATAGAACTACAGTACAGTACACTACCTTTCCAACAAAGAACTACTATCCGATTAAAAGAAGCACTTGGCTTTTCGTTTAAATTTTGGCAACTTTATCTTTTGCCGACACGGGTGTTTAAAGAAAAGGTCTCAGCTTCACTCAGTCGGTTGCATCTCGTTTCTAGGAAAGAAAGTTGTGGATTCAGCGATGCTAAAGATCCCATGGCATTATTTGAAAAGAGAATGGAGTTTCTCCTGTTGTTCTGGCCACAATCCTCCAGATAAATTGCTCATTCACTTCATGGCTGCTTGTGGGATATTGCCGTGTGCAAATTTGCTGCCACAGATTGATTTGAATTTTGTCTTAAGATTATTTTTGCACCACATCTATACAGGCTGAATAGAAGAATGCTCTTGTGATTCTCGTTATGTACATCCAAACACATACTGTCAAACGAGTTCTTGTTCACAATATTGAACCATTCTTCCTATAATAAATACATTGTAGTAAACAAAGTAGTTTAAATGAGTAGAGGATTTGAGCAGAGAAATTACAATCAGCAAGATTCAATGGCTCATAGAAATTAAATCGAGAGATTGATTTAATGAAAGTAATTACTTCACTGCTGGATTTTATTGCAGGCCTCCTTTGCACTCCTTCCCTAAATTTTATCCGTGGATTTCCTACAGCCGACCACAGATTTTCAAACCAAAAATAAAATTGTCCACATTAAACATGATTATTATGTCAATAAACAAGCACATGGGAAATTAAATTCAAATTATTCAAATCCATCCATTTTAATTTAGGATTCATTTTTTTGTCAGCTGGGTGTCTGACACATGCTCATCAACACCATACTTAAAGTATTTAAACCAAACTGAGTTCCAGCTTTCCACCTATACATTGAAAGTCCAGAGAGGTTTATTGGAATTCCGGAAGGTAGCAGGCACAGGTTAGCAAGATCCATGCTTGGGGACCCCATAGTTTGCCATTGAGAGCAGTGCCTGGTAAGCTGTCCTGCTGCTTGTCCAGCTAGGACCACTATACCTGTTTGGCTTTCGCTTGCAGGGTTAACTCAATCCTGCAATGAATGATTTGCCCTTCCAAGTCCGGTCGATGAGCCAGGGGGCCCTGGAGTACTGTGGACCTGCCTGGATCAGGAACTGGACTATTGTAACTAAAAGGTTAATTTGAATTAAAATACTTTCTTCAAAGGATACAAAACAAAGCTATGTACTCCACATATTGTTACTTAGGAAAAAAAATGATTCTGAAGAGAAAACTTCATAGCTCAGCAACTATCATTCTCCTCTTTTTATTGGGCTGTTAACCAATTTCACAAAAGCACAAACATCCAAATGGTAACACAAGCAATTTAACATTAGGTAAGGTATCTACACGTTTTGCAGAGAAACCTCTGTAATAAACCTGATAGAAATACAGTACATGGAGAATGTGCATTAACAGAAAATGAGCGATTAACGAAGGACATCAACTCATGCTGTTGCATAAGTCTACTGCACAAAAAATAATATAGCTTTACAAATGAAGCAGCTGTTTCTAGATTGATTTCCATGGTAAAAAATTACCGTGACCATAAAAACTCAGCCATTTAACATGGATTCACTTACATGCTCTTCAAGAAACCCACTTGAGACCACATAATTACCCATGAATTACTTGACCATTCACACTGGTTTATTTCAGAAGAGTATGTACAGATACTGATAATTGAGAAGCACAAGTGGCTATTGCCATGCATTTCAAACACCTTGAATTACTTTGACTGAATAATAGACTCATCAGATCATCCTGCCATCAGCAAGCATTCCAGCAGATCTGGTGGTCGTCTGATATGATATTTTCTCCCCCACTCTGTTTGGTTAGACATATAAACATATTCAAGAGGTCAATTCAATTGGAAATGGAAGTCATTCAAAATGTTTAAACTCATGCTTTCGGCATATGAGAAATGTAGTGACAGCAGGTAACAACTAGAAGTTTGTGGTTTTCAATCCTACTTGATCTACCGCTTCCACTTTGCCTATTTCAATAGCTTCTCCCGCCCTCACACAGCCACCTGCTGAGTACCTCAGGGCTCTATCCTCAGCCTCCATTTTTTCAACATATCTAGCTGCCAAAATGTACAGTATATATCCCAACAGTGTTTGGTGTATAATCCAACAGCAGGCAAGCAATACTTCCCTAAAAATCCTAAAACAGATTTAAAGGCCAGATTCATTTGCCACTTTAAATATAATTGAAAAAATAAAAGGAGCTGTCAATACTAACATTCTGTTCTTCAAAAATTAATGAATTAATTTTAGTAATCAAGAAAAGTTAATTGACAAGTTTGTGCCCAGAAGACAAGTTTATTTTCCTTTGCTTAAAGGATGGAGCTAGGGTCAAAGGATGATCATGTTCATTCTTTAAAAATGATGAAATCGATAAAATATTCAGGTGAAAAAAAAGTTATTTGTTTACACATTGGTGCCAAGATCAGGTATAGGCAAGTATAATTCTGACATTTCAGAGCTCATTCAACTCTCATTAATATTTTCTTGCAAAATACCCAAACACAACTTTGCAATAATAACTGTTTGCTGAGGTCATACACAAAATTTGCATGACAAAATCTTGGTTAAGTGCCTCGAAACAAATGGTTTGTGGAAACACTTCGATGTTGCTGAAATCTAATACAGGATGTTGCTGAAATCTAATATTTAACAAGTTGTTAATTTAAACAACTTACAATTGAGTGAATATATACAGAATACATTTGACTCCAATTTTATTGAATATAAAAAAATCACTTTGACTTTGTGGAATATTTTTACTCATGATACCTTTCATGTACACACATATCCACTTTCTCCCCCCCCTGCAACATTCACACAAATGTTCACAAACTGCTCATGCAGAGAAGTCAGGTTTTTAATGAATTATGTGCAGAGAAGTTATAAGTGGGATACTAAGTGGGATATCAAATCTATCCCAATCAGACCTAATAAACATTACCTATGGAACAAGAGACATTTTTGATTTAAAGACCCAATAGCATTTTTTTATCCAATTGCATACTTATATTATGTGTAAATACATGCAAAATGTATTTCATATTCCACATCTCATCTCTACTTTAGTTAACTGAAATGCAAACAATCCAACAGATTGCTGAATATGAATCTGTATTTAACACATCACATTGATTTGCCAAGTTTTGTTTTACATTGGCTTTAGAGGTAGAAAAATACTAAAATGGATATTTTTCATACAGTATAATTATAATACTTTGCACTGGTCAGTTTCTACAGGCAATACTTCATCAACATTTTAACATTTAAACAGGTATTCTGGTACATTGGATTGATGAGTATTATTGAAAATGGGCCTGAACAAATTAATACTAATGTACCTACTCAAGACATGTTTGAAGATTCTGCTTATCTTTTTCTCCTCTATTGTCTTAGCTGTAATTGTAATTTGTGTTTTCGCTTTTAAAAACCCACTGAAACAGGCAAGTAAAGGGGCACGACTATCAAAATTACCTTCAGACTTATCAAAAAAAACTTATTCAGTATCATTTTAAAAAATAACTATGTTATTGTATGAATGGCAGATCTAAAGGAAGATAAAGTTACGTGGAGGATTCTGCTTGGCTCTGCACCCCAGACTGCAGTTCAATTTCTGTTTGGGGAACACAGTGTTCAGATTACCTTTTTATTTGAGGGATGGAATCTTTCTTTTGAATTAGGTTGTTCTCGGGATGAGTAAGTTCATGCTTTAACATGTCCCAATGTGGTTTCGTCTTAATCAAAGGAAAAAATGTAGATTCTAAACATTGTGAGTCCAGCTGACATAAATTCAAATGAATAACTCTGAACAACAACTTAACACACTTTATTTTGGAAAGTTATACAAAGCGAACATATCATTTTTGTCATTTTTAAATTGCCTCAGTATTTGAAATCTAGTTTCCACTCCATGTAACATGCAGGAAGTGACCTAAGCAATGAGCTGTCGGCCCAGATGTTAGCCATGTTTTAGCGCAAGAAGCCAACTCATAAGTAACCACACTTGTGGTGTAGCACTTCAAAGTCCCCCCCGCTCTAAGTGAAGCCATACTGTAATGGGGCTATCCTGTATTTGAGTTCTTTTCCCAGTATTTTGTTGTTAGATAATCAGAATTAAAATAACAAGAATTGAATAAATTTTTATTTTAGCGAAAAACATATTCTGCAATGCTGAAGTCGTTGAAAGAAGTGACATAATCCTGTTCACCACTGAGCAAAGCCTGGTACAGTAGTTGTAAGGATTCACTGCTCAAATATCAAAACAGGCAGCAAAATATCCAACACACTTCTCTTTGAACAAAAAAGTTCCACTTACGATACCTTTAAAAGACTTATCAGTAAGCATGCAACAATCAACAACAGCAGCAACAAACAACTGTGCATCTAGTGGATCAATGTCATCTGCAAGGGAAGGCCATCAGTTTGTTTCCAATGATTGTAACCTAATCTGGAAAGCTCCAGCAATCTCTATGTATGTTGAGACAGTCGAGGGTAATCTTCATACTTAGTTTCTTGCTTCTTTCTGCTCTTCAGTAACACATACTTTTGTTTTACCATTTTCCCATTTATTCCCAATATAGACAACAGCAGAAGTTTGTTGGTAATACGTTTGAACAGATTAATTCAGAACAAACTGGATTTTTGGTTTATATGATCTTCACCAGGTAACGTATTTGTTATAAAGTCAAAACTATTCAAGTATGGACAAGACAACACATCCAATACCCCATTTATAATGCACAAAGAGCATATATTTGATGGCAATTTCTATACTGAACTGATGCTTCATTGAATTATGAATTTGATTTTAAACCACAACTTGGATTTATATAGCACCCTTCATGCCCCATTCATGCAGGATTGCATCATGGAACATTGCTGTCAAGTCATCAATAAAGGCATTGAATTGATTTGAAGCTCTTTAATCAATGCTTTCAGATGTAGTATAATTCAGGTCTTATTGTAGCAGATTTCAAACAAATTTCTTAATTTAAAAGTTCTTGGAAGCTCCTAGCTTTGTAATAATTGTTAAAAATGACCAACATTAGCACTTAGTGGAGTTCTATCCATGCACTTAGTTGCACACTCTCAGCGGTCTGCTTAGTCCCTGCTAAAAGCAAATATACTGCCTGAAGCAATGTCAAATCACTCCAGCAGTATAAAAGGAGCTGAAAAAATTATACCAGAAGTAAAAAGGGCACAAGATTGCCTGCAGAATTGTACATTATTGAAGTACACCTGCAGCTTTACTACTTCTTCCTATGGCTGGCAGTTAAGCACAAAATAAAGGTTTTTATGTCAAATCACACCTCAGGTATTTAAAACATTCGACACTTGAACTTCTGACACCGGATTAGGGTTTTACAAGTGTCAAAGTACATGTCAGTGTGCTTTGTCACAAACTAATAATATAACAAAAGCCTAAAGACATTTTTAAATTGGCGAGAGAAAATAAGAAAACCTAATCTCCTAAATTATATAAAAAGATCATATGATGTCATGTATTACTTAAATCATTGGCAATATATGGCAATAATTTATGCATTAAACAAATCTTACCTGGAGGCCATGATATTTGTCCACTTTTTCATATGCACCATATGCTGAAACATTTAAAAAAATAAATTGGAGAAGAAATAGATTAAAAGTGCTGGCAATGTAAAATTAAATCTATTGCATTGCATACTATAATCAAAACATTACAAGTACCAATAAAGAGTTATCATAGTTACTCATTTGGGAGTCCAGATCAGGCATAATCCAAAATACTGTAATTTAATCTAGATTTCCCAAAACAATGTATACTCACAAATTTGTTTAGATTATTTATTCAGTGCTTCTGCTTCATTATCAAACATGGTCACTATATTCTACAGTAAATCCCGTGGAGCACTTAAGATAATATCCTCTTAAAATGAAGGTTCTATGTCAAATTACTGTTCATTATAAATGTGGCAGTGAATTCTACGACTCCTGTAGGGAATTCTGTTCCTATTATGTAGCAAAAAATGCATCAGTCATCTTTGTTTTTGTAAAATTTGTCAATTTTATACATCATTTTACATAAAAGGATTATTTGGGCAATGTGCTTTTCAGTTAGGCCTTTTATTAAGTTTGCCTAAAAATACCCGGTTCTAGACAGTGAGTCACACAGCAATATCAATGCTATACAAAAACGTATGTAGAAGTAATATGAATAAAAAAATTCACACCAATTAATACTTTGAATAAGGGAGTGGCTGATGTGATGAATCATAAAATAACTGAAAGAATAATTATCGCTTTTTTTTGGGTGTAACAAGAGTTTATTAGATGTTTAAATAATTGCAAACTCCTGTAGGGAGTACAATACAAATAATTGTGTTCTCACGCCACTTGATTTATGTGAAAGACAAACTGATAAAAAAATTAACCTATACCCGATCCGGCTTTACTTTCTATAGGAACAAAACCCATCCTTTCAGTGAAACATGCCACAAATAATATCTAACATGTATAGGATTTGTAGATCTAATGACAATTATAAAGTAATCATAGATATTAAAACACCCCCTACTAAAATACTCACAAAACAAAAGTAATAACAGTAACCCTTTAGGAAACATGACTTTAAAAACATGTATGTCAATTTGCTAAAGCACTCCTGTATTTTTAAGAATCAATAACTGGAAAAGGCCTGCCAAGGGTCTTTGGATGCACAAGATTTTTAAAAAATATTTCTATTTATCCCATTGGAGATTTTCAGGCTCTCACAGATCTATTTATATTTTACATTACATAGATGGCAAATCCATTTGGAGCATTTTAATCAAGCTCATTTTCAAACCCAAGTTAACACCATTTATACTCCAGGATTGCTAAGCTTCACTGTTTCATCTTATTCTGGTTAGTTTACGTACGTGATAAAGTTCTTATCTTTCCTTTTCTCCCCTGTGCCTGGTGCCCATTATCATCTTGTTATGCGTTTAGAGATATTCATGCCACATAAAAAGCTATAGAAGTACAATGGCAAGTTTCTGTAGCCAATGCCAGAAACAACTATTCAAATCTGTACTGAGTGCCAAGGTCCTTTGGCCACATTCACCCATATGATTATAATTTGATAGATAATAATAATAATCCCTGCATTTGATATATCATTGAGACATCCCAAAGCACTTCACAGGATATACTGTAGTGGATTGATTGAGCATTTATGGGTGAAACCAGCAGCCATTTGCACAGAGCAATGTCCCACAAACAGTGATGGAATGAGTGACCAATTTTATTTGGGGGATTGTTGGCCAGTACATCGGGAGAACCTCCCTTCTTTTTCCTAACAGTGTAGTTGGATCTTTAACATCTAGCTGAACAGGCAGATGGGACCTCGGTTTCACGTCTCATCCGAAGGACGCACCTCCGACAATGTAACACTACCCCATCACTGCATTGGAGTGTTAGCTTAGACTGTGATTCCAAGTCCTGACGTGGGGCTTGAACCCACAATCTTCTGTCTCAGAGGTGAGAATGCTACCACTGTGCCAGGCTGACACACAATATTTTCACAGAGATTCACAATTTCAAAAAAAAATTAATTTAAATTTCAAAATTTAAATGTGGAAATTGAAAAATTCCATTCATTCAATCAACAGATTGAGGTAGGTTTCTAAACAAAGCAATGTCATTGTCAATGCTAAGAAAATATACCACACGAGTTCTCCTTCCTCGCCATCACTTTCTGCTCCACTGAAATTTATGAATGCAGAACTCCACCAGGACAACATTTAATTAAAAAAACACTTAAGATGGTAGTTACCTAAGTTTAAGTACGTCTACACTAATGTCCCCAAGATCCATTTAGAACATGCATTAGTTTAGGCAATACCACGCACTGTTTATTTTTTAATGACTTAAGTTTCCAACCTTCTACCAATTATTCTGAAAATAGTTTTGTAAAACTTAATCATCAAATATTTAAAGCAATTTTACAAAGGACTTGAATTATGTACTATTCAATTCTTCAGAAAACGAGAGCACGATTTAAGGACTGAACTTTAATTGGCATACAACAGCTGTAACTCAAACTGGCAGGATTTGAATACTAAACTTGGAGTTGCATTGTACATTCAAATGTTTGTTTAAAATCACAATTATACTAGAAACAAATAACTAATGGATCTGCATTGCTACATTTACCTTGCAATTTTATCTTGCCTTCCTCTCCACTCTCAAACTTATAGGTTAATAGTGTATGAAACTGTGAAGAGTTTTTAATACAGTTAAAAACATGGGACTTAAAATGACTCCCCTCCTACTCTTCTCAATTCCACCTTCAGGATTTCCCCCTTCCAGTGTCAGCTGGGGGAGTGTTGCATTGTTGAAGGTGTCATGGTTATCAAGTTTGCCTACAAATGCATGACCACTACATTGTGCAGCAATTCTTTGTGAACTGTTACTGCATTTTATTTGACTTTATTTGGAAAACAATTAATGATTTTCTTTGATAAGAAAAGTTTGAAAGTATAGTTATTTATTTTCAATAATATTTTCAAATGGGATGAACAGCTTTCACCATCATTTATCAACAATGATTGAAAACATGACCACTACTGATCAGTAAATAACTCAATCACAACTCAGTATTATTATCCATCAAGAGAATAATGAATGCAGAGTTTAGCCTAATTAACACCGTAATTAGCATTAACATGATGGCACATTATTTGTATGGTCTTTATAGGTTTTAAAAAGTGTTTGTATGCTGCACATTAACAATGTTAATGAATATACTGCAGCACATTCTTTGGACACTGTGAAAGTGAAGTGACTGTATGTTTCCTTGAAAAATACAAAGAAAGGAATAAAACTGATGTACACCATTAACATAATTACTTAGCTGGTTAAACAAGAACTACAACTGTAATTTGGTGCAGATCAGTACAGCTCCAGATACAGCATAATCTCAGAATTGAAAAGTTTGATAATCAACAAGATGTAAGCATTTAACAAAATACCACCCATATTTGTTGAAAATAAAGGAACGTTGCTTGAAATAGAAAGATAGAGCAGCAAATTTAAGATGCATAAATATACAACCTTTCCCCAACCCACAAATGTTGTAAAATTGCATCCAGGATAGTGTATTACTTATCAAAATACTATGATATTCATGCAGAAAGTCACTGTATAGGTTTAGAATATTTGCTGGTGCTTTGATGGCTCAAGGCTTCAAATATTTAATTGATATAAAAATGATCGTTGTAAGCATGCAATCCAATATTCTGAAGTACACTGAAGTCTGAATAATTCTTAGTGTAACAAGTGCCAGGTGAAAGATAAAGAATTTATTTTACGTTTTTGTCTTTTATGGATTGGATAATTCCTTTCTTACTTACTTAAAAATAGTTGTAAAACTGGTGTTGAAAGAGAATACAAAGAATAAAGCATAACATATACTTACAGTCCTAATTAACATTTTATTATAGGTTGTGCAGGTGTAACTCAACAAGCTTCAACAGGTTGAACAACAGACGGTTTCAGATATTATAGAATGCTTGCCAGAGCAAGCTTTATGCTTCACTGATCTCTTGTGTCAACTAGCATTGGTTGGTGAATTAGCATGATGATAGATCTCCAGGATCTAGGCCACCATCACTTGAACACTGTGTCCCTCTATTAGGTTATTCCAATTAATACAAGAGGGGAATATACTGCAGCATATTCTTTGGATGCTTTGCAAAAGTAAATGTAACTTTTCCTAGAAAAATACTAAGAAACTGGCTCTAAAATTGAGTTTAGACATATCCAATAATTTCCTGATTCACAAAATCTTTCAATTTAACACAACCAAATTTACAAATAGTGTATTTTCAAAACATTCACAGTACTTTCAATAAAAAAACCTCATTTTGTTTTCATTATTTCTAGAAGAGAGCACATCAAATGTGACAGGACAGGACTATTGTGGCAATACAGTTTACAACAACAATAAAATTACATTTGCATAGGGACTTTCATGTCGGGAGGATGTACAGAGGATGTCAAGACGCTGGACAGACAGAGTTACGGACCCGAGCTGAGGGTCGTGGTGGGGGAGGGGAGAGGGCGGGGGGTGTGGGGGAAGCAGGGAGATCGAAAGCACGGTCGAAAAGGAGGGTCTTGAGGTGGGTCTTGAAGGTGGCGAGGAGGGAGCGAGACGGAGGGACTGCGGGGTGGAGTTCCGAGGGTGCTGATAGTGGGGCAAGCAAGGCGGGGTATGTGAAGCAGGCGGAGACCGCTGAACGGAGGGTGCAAACAGGGTAGTAGGGGCTTTAGGAGGTCGGAGAGGTAGGGGGGAGCAAGACTGTCGAGGGCTTTGAAGGTGAGGACCAAGATCTTGAACTGTATCCTCTGTGTGATGGGAAGCCAATGGAGTTGGGCAAGGATGGAGGTGATAGGGTCGCGAAGCCTAATGTGAGAGAGGCCACGGGCTGCAGAGTTCTGGATGATCTGCAGCCTGTGGAGGGAGGAGTTGGGGAGACCGACAAGCAGTAAGTTTGCATAGTCGAGCCTCAATGTAATGAAGGACAGCCTGCGGTGTGAGAGAGTGTCGGAGCCGGGCAACATTGTGGAAATGGGGGAAGGC